ATCATCCTAGCTACTTAGAAGGCTGAGACCTGAAGATCTCAGTTCAAAAACAGCTCAAGGCAGAAAAGCCTATGAGACTCTTACCACCAATTAACCAGCAAAAAACAGAAATGGAGGTGTGACTCAAGTGGCAGAATGCCAGCCTTAAGCAAAAAAGCCAACCAAGAGTGTAAAACCTGGAATACTGGCACACAAGCATGTATGCACACACATACACAATTCTTGTGAAGAGTCCAACACTCACTGGCTGTGTAATCTGCAATAAGGAGTGACAAGTCTCTACAACTTATCCCTTCTGAAAATAGCAAAGCTAGAAAATTACATTGCACTGACTTCTAATGCCTATTGCTTAACTAAAATGTTCACAAATCTCTTCTCTTTGGTTTGCTAAAATAATGATAAAACAAAAGATAAGCAAATGTGAGATCTATTAAAGATCAATGTTTCAGAGGATTTACATTAAGAAAACACTTATTTTGTCCTTACTTTGTTTAAGTTTAGCACAAATCAGGAGGCGTCAACTTTCTCTTACCTACATAGCTTTTTTTCCAAGATGATTCAAATTTAAATATTAAATTAAATATTACTGTTTCATTTAATTTTGTGTGCTAGGGGTCAAATCTGGAACCTCTTGTGTGCTCTATGCTCAACCCAACATTATTTCTGAAAGAATTATTTAAGTTCTTCAAGTAATGAATTCATGGAAAACCAAAACCATATCAAAATCACTTTTCCAAACTTAAAAGTTTCAAACTGGCAAAAATAAAGAACATGATGCTAGATGTCGTAGCTCACACCTGAAATCCTAGCAAATCCTGGAGACAAAGGCAGAGCATGCGGGGCGGGGGAGATGGGAAGGGATGTGATGGGGAAACAAAGGACGAGGCCACAATGCTTGGTAAGAAATGTACTCATTACCTTGCCCATGTAATTGTAACCCCTCTGTATGGTATTTTCACAACTAAAAAAACAACAGCAACAAAGGCAGAGGATCTTGAGTTTAAGGCTAGCATGGCCATATAATGAGGCCCTGCTTACACACACACACACACACACACACACACGTGTACACACACAAATGCGCGCACACACACACACAAAATGGGATTTTCAAATTTGTTTGACAGATAACAAAGTACCAGGCTTTGTATTCAGGGCCTCAAACTGGCTCAGATGCATGCTGGGTTGGTGCTCTACCATTTGTGCCACACCTCTCACGCAGCATTTTGTGGTTATTTTTGAGATGTAGTCTCTAGACTTTTCTGTTCAGTTACTCGATCCTCTGGATCTCAGCCGCCACAGTAGCTAGGATTACAGGCATGATTCAGTGGCATAGGGTAAAGTACTTATTTTTGGGCAAAGTTCTGTTCTTATATTTCAATCCAAAGTAACAAACACTGTGTTTAACTGGAAATTGTCATATTTAATTTCTGTTGGTATGATGGAATGGGCTGCACAAGTTTTAAAATCCAAAACTTTTACTGCTGCCCCCAAAATAATTGCTATCCCTGAATAGACAAATTATTCTACGTAGACAGTGCCATGATGCAAGCTAATGAGATCTGGTTTCCTATGGAATTGAATTTTGTGATGGCAGACAACTTAAGTGTTTACATCACTGGCTACCATGCCCTTCTAATTCTAAAATTAGAGAGATTTTACATGTAAAAATATGCCAGGGGAATCAGATTCCTGGTGCTCTACAGCTTTATTTCAGGTAGCAAAACGAATAATCCAATCTATTGCCTTTTATCAGTAAATATGTAGTTTACTGCTTTCCCAAGTATGAACCCTGTTCAGTCACCTTGTATTTCAAAATGCAAGACAGCAACTAAGAGTAATTTTCCTTCTGGCTAACCCAACTATTCTCCCCCCCAAAAAAACACAAAACACACACAAAAAACAAACAAACCAACCCCCACTACTTTCTGGCTAGAAGACACTTCTATCAAGAAACAGTAATTCAGACAAAGCTGAGTTTTCCTCTCAATAAAGTACAAAATTTCTTCAGTAACTAATGCAAAAAATACTGTTAGTAGTTATTACTAGACAAAGTAATTACTAAAGATAGTAAAGCCAGTCTTCTAACAGTGAAGCTTAATATACTACAGTTGCAAAGGAAACTAAAAAAATCTAAAATAAGACAACATAAGCAATTCCATCCATATTTAAAGTGTTAATCATAAAAAAATATTTGTAGCAGCCTTCTACACATTGAAGAATCACACAATTTAAATATACACATATTCTGTTTCCCTAATTATAAGGAACACAGTCTCTTCATATGTGAATTTACTTTGACTTCATCTCTTTGTGCTGTAAGACAAAGATAACTAATTTAAATATTGGCTCACTTAGCTGGTCTTGAGTTACGTAGTTCACATATACCTTTCAGAATATAGGCAATTCCTCACTATGAGTGCTTCTAATATTAGTTGTGTATTTTTTACAAATTGTGACAAAGTAAATGCAAAACTACTTCATCTGGGGTTCACAGAAAGAAAAGCAGCAGTTCTTCACAAAGCAAGAGAAAAACCAGACAATGTCCAATTCTTTTAGAACTACTATTTTCACAGCCAACATGGTACCTCCCTAAGAGATTTTCAAGGGCCTTTGGTTCTAAACTAGTTTGCAATCTGGGCAGCCTTTATAACCCAATCCATACACCAAATCGTACCTAACACCCATCTTTATCTTTAAAAAAAAAAAAAGCTTTGCATTATGCTAGTGAGCATCATGCTAATCAATTCAGGGTTGTTGTTTTGGTTTGGTTTGTACAGTGTTGGGGGTAAAATCCAGGGCCCAGAATATCCTAAGCTAAGCTACTTCCCCAGCCAATATTTGGTTTAAAAAGTACAATTAAATAAGCACAATACTCTCCTGGTAAGAGAAACTTTTGTAGCAAGAGAGGAACTTGCATTAGGTAAGACAAAAGGTTGGCATGTGAGTAATTGAAGGAAAAGTAGTAGAGTTAATGCTACAAGAGAAGTAGAAGCTAAGTACTAAGGAGTTCAGAAAATGAACATTAGACAAACCATCAAGGAGGCTGAATGCTGACAGCAACGGTGACAATGCATACTGAAAAGCAGTGGGAGTTATTTGAAGAAAAATTCATTCTAATGAAAACCAGGATGAGAAAACAATCTTTAAAACACGTTGTATAAAGGAGTGAAACAGAATACATTTAAGAATTAAGTGTTTTTAAAAGGTGATTAATAGCCAGTCTGTTGAGAAAAAGTCACTGAGACTCATCTCTAATTAATCACACACACACACACACACACACACAAAATGCTAGAAGTGGAGCTGTGGCTCAACTAGTACAGCAATAGCCTTCAGCAAAAGAAGCTCAGGGACAGGGCCCACACCCAGGACTGGCACAAAAAAAAAAAGTGATGAATCAAAAGGCTTAATTTAGCTGTCCCAAAGGTATATTATACTATTATTGAGCCTATTGCTGAACCATGAACTTATTTTGTATGTGTGTCCCCATTTTGGGAGCCTGAATTCAAGGCCTTGCCCCATAGCTCAGCTGTTTTGCTCATGGCTGCAGCTCTACCTTGAGCCACATCTCCAGTCATGCATTCTGATTGGAGTTGATTGGAGTTTCACACACTTTTCTGCCCCAGCTGGCTTCAAATCATGATCCTCCAGATTTCAGCCTCCTGAGAAGCTAAATTACAGGCCAGAACCATGCACTTAAAATTATCTTCTACTAGGTAGGTGGTTTTCCATTGCTGAAGCAGCAGCTTGACTCTAACCAAACATTAATTTTAGAAGGTAAAAGATTGATAACCAGGAAGAAGTCTGCACACAACTTTCCTTTCTTAAATCAGTTATAAACTTCCCTCAGGGCAAAGGCACTGAGTTGTTAGGAAAGATAAAATGAGCATAAATCTCTACTTTCAGACTTCTACAAGACCTTCACATGTCATTTCAAGCTCTACTTAAAATAGAAAGAAAACTGCCTTTAACTCCATTCCTGACATCAACGAAAAGTGTCCACACTGATTCAAAGATTTGGGAAGTGGTGATCTCCAAATCATTTTATGTAGACACATCAAAAAGCAAATAACTGGGGCTGGGAAGGTCGTTCAATGGTGCTTGTCTTACATACATGAGGGCCTGGGTTCGATTCCTCAGCACCACATAAGCAGAAAAAGCCAGAAGTGGTGCTGTGGCTCAAGTGGTAGAGCGCTAGCCTTGAGCTGAAGAGCTGAGGGACAGCACCCAGGCCCAGAGTTCTGGCCCCACAACCGACCAAAAAAAAAAAAAGGCAAATAAACATAACTCATCTCACAGCTGCTACTGGGAATTCTAACCGATAGATTCCCATTTGGCTTCCAGAATTCCATTCTGGACCCACTCATTACCTGAGAGTGGGGAGAGGAGAATCCTCTGTGGGTGGGGATAGGAAAATCCTCATTTAAAAATAGAAGGACACAGAAAATCTTGTCTCCATCTACTAATGTTTAAGAGCTGCTGCTATGATCAAACACGTCTCCCCTTTTCCCAACAGCGTGGACTGAGATTTCCAAGGACACCAATTCTCAAACGAGATCCCCTTCAACTCAGTTCATCTAAGCGTTCCGAAAACCCGACACACTAGCTTGGTTTTCTACTAAAAGAAAATGCACTTAAGCAGAGCAACTGGCACGTATTACCTACTAAAATGTGTTTCGATTACATTCTGGGATTCGACCATGTCCATCCAACCAGGCGTCCCCCACCTCTCGCGATTACAGCGGAGTTGGGCAGGATGGCCCGACCTAGGCCAAGGGTGGAGAAAGCGGACCAGGGAACCTCCCACCACCACGACCCCGAGCCTTCCCGCGGGCTCCGGCGGCGGCGCTCAAACTGGGTCCCAGAAACTGTCGGGAGACGGAGGCGTGCAAGGACGGAAAACACGCCTGGCCCTAACCCTAACCCTAGCCACAGTTCATCTCCTCAGCGAACAAGTCCAGGTTTCATCGCCGGTCCAGGACCCAGGCCGCACTCACCTACCAGAACGACAGTCCCTCACCTTGCTGGCGCCCACCCCAAATCGCCACTCGCTCTTTAAAAAGAAAAACGAAGAAAAACCAAAAAAAAAAAAAACAGAAAGAAAAAGAGGGGGAAAGAAAAGAAGATAAGCCTTTGCTTTAGAATTTCTTTTGACCCTTCGGGCTTCCTGTTCCTCACCGCCACAACAAAGTTCCACCCCGCTTCCGGCGGCGAAACCCAATCCACAGCTCTCTTCCTGTCCGAGGGCGCGATGGAAATCCGGTGCCCCCAAACCGAGCCGGAGAAACTTGATTGGGCCATTCGCCTTTCAGCCAGGATAATTGGCCAGTTCACGCCTAAAGGGCGGGCCGGTCCGCGGTGTCATGTGACACGATTCTTGAAAGGTGATTGGCTGTGAGAGGGGAGGGTTTACCACAGAGGAATGGGCGTTTCCTAGGGGACTGAGGGAGGGCCGGGGCGGTACGAAGCGGGGGTGGGCCCTGCGCGTAATGGCAGCGCCGTGGCCTCGCGTCCATCTTTACCGCTCTCTTGGACCTGTCACAAAGGAGACGCACAGCTGCCGCTGTCCCCTCCCTCCGGTGGGCCCGGGAGCTAGAGAAAGTCGGTGCCGCAGCCAGACCGCGCTGCTGTGGGAAGCCCTGTGGAGACGCGGTAGGGGGGGAAGACCGAGGGCTTGGGGCGTCCGTGAGGGAGGGGAGCCGCCGCTGGAACTGGGGGGCGGAGAGACCGGACTGGGCCCCTGGCGGGCTCCCGGACGGCGCCTGGGAGCGGGCGGCGCCGGGCCGAGCCCGGGAAACCGCCGGGAAGCTCTCCACCGAGGCCCGCGCTGAAGCTGTCTGAAGAGCTTCCTGGAAGAGGGTGTTCCCCCTCGGGGGAAGGGAGGGGGGTCCTGACTGGAGGAGGTTCTTGGGGGTCACCCTTCAGAGGAGGCTTCGGCTAACGGGGCTCAGGTGAGAGGCAGGTATCTCCGGGGAGGCTCCTAATGGAGAGGTGCTTCCCGGGACGGAAGGGACGGACGGGAGAACGCTTCGGGAGGATTTCCCTTTGTGGACTTGGCGGCTTAGGTGGGCGACGGACCTGCCCCTCAGGGAGGTTTAGAAATGACCTGGGGGTCGGGAGACGTGACCCAGAGAGCGGCTAAGGGGTGGGAGCCAGACCTAGCGGATTCTCCTACTCCGGAGGCCCGAGCGGAACGCCTGGCGGAGAGGAACCGGGGCTGTTGGGGGAAGAAGACAGCCCCATCCACTGGAAAGCGCGAGTGGGAAGGCGGTGAAAGGAAATGAGAATGGCCAGGTCCTTTCCTCCCTCCGGAGACCAACCAGGTGTCCCAGACACAGGATCCAGCTGCTTCTGGGCTTAGGGCCAGGGTGGGGCCGGGGCAGGCCATCCCACCAACAAACATCCTTACTTGCCTCCGGGTTAGACTTTCGGCCCTGCAGTTTGCCTCGATTTCCCTCCTGTTAGAGAACGAGAGGGCACTGCTGATCCACCGAGACTCTGAGCTCCTAAGTAAGTGGTCTAGCCTTCTGAGGTTGCTTCCCCAGGAGTGGGGAACATCGAACTTTAAGAGGTTGCAACTTGTCTACTATTGATGGAGTCTCATCCTGAAGTTTTCCGAGCTCCTCACCTACCATCATCGGTTGTTAATTAACCCTCTCGACTTCTTTCTATAAAATAGCTAACTCGGTGTGAGAAAGTACAAACTACAGTCTGTAGTGATGTGAAAGTAAGATGTTGTAATTGTATTACCAAACGGGCTTGCTGTTGAGGAATCGGAATGAAACCACTGAACTCTAAAGCATTCTGTAGATGGAAGAGATTAGCAATAATACTGTCGTTGATCACCTATAGAACACTGGGAGCCATATTGGCCTGAACGCTTCCAGATTTGCAGTTTCTTAGGTTCTTTTACAATCTAAACGGGGGATTTCAAACTCTGCTTCCATGGGGGCAGGGATTTCCAGTTTTTCTTCTCTTGAGTTTTAATTTACTTTGAACCTGTGATGGTGCTGGTAGGGAGTAAATACTATATTATGATCTTTTCTTTCAGGAAGTTTTTCTCAGCTGAAATTTGCCTTCAAGTATTTGCCTTCTCAGAATTGTCAACACAACACACACACACACACACATACATCTCCATCCATTCGTATCTTTTGAATTATCACCAGGTAGTGAGCATCATGGTTCATGCGTGAACTTCTTCCCTCTATGAGTATATATTCCTTATGTGCTTGCCCTAGGTAGATGCTTTTAAATTTCTTCACTCCAAGGGTTCTCTTAATTGTTTACCTTACATAGAGTTTGTATTTACTGAGATGATGCCCCTAATTATCAGATTACAAAATACATCTCTGCTATTTCACTAGTGTTTAGTGACAGTTTAGAGCTGGTTTTCTCAAGATTGGGAAATTTGTGATTTTGAAGTGGAATTTTTAAAACACTGATCTGAATTTCCTGCTTTTATACTCTTATAGTCTATGGATTTTTTTTTTTATTACTGTGGTGATTTTGTCAGCTTCCTGATTTCCCAGGATACAATATCCTGACCTACTACTTAATGTCTGTGTCCTGCTTTGTGCTGTTTTTACAAGTCCTTCCTTTTTTTTTTCTTCTGGTTGTGGGGCCTCACTAGGCCTGGGTGCTGTCCCTCAGCTCTTCAGCTCAATGCTAGCACTCTACCACTTGATCCACAGCACCCACCCCTTCCCACTTTTTCTGCTTATGTGGTGCTGAGGAATTGAACCCAGGGCCTCATGCATGCAAGGCAAGCACTCTACCCCTGAGCCACCTTCCCAGCCCCTTCCTTTTTTTTTTGTCTGTTCTCAATTATATTTTTAAGCTATTGATTATAGCCTATATGTTCCAGCATAATATGTGGACTTTTTCTGCTTTGTCAGCAAAATAACTTCAATTAGCCAGATCTAGGGAAAACAAAAATTAAGTACTTTGTCTAATAATGTTTTATTCTGTACAGAATAGGGAAGAAAACAATAATTCTGAAGTGTTTTAAGAATTTAATGAGCGAAATTGTTGTGCTTTTCTGAAGTACATTTTCAGCAATCTGTTTCAACTCATTAGCTTAATTCAGCCTATCAAAGATTGTTTATCTTTTCTATAGTAATGAAATAACTTATTATAAGGAAGTGGGAAATTACATCTTTGAAAATACAACTTTCTCTGACACCACAGAACTTATGTAGCTTAGAGAAGTTATTAGGAATTCTCAAAGATAATAATCTGTATTTTGGAACAAGATCCCTATAAAGTAGAATATAAGCATTATAAGGATCTAAAAGCGGAAAGTCAAACAGTGCCCCAAATGAGAATCACAATAGAACCAGAGATCTAGTTCAAGAGTTACTTGGGACTGGGCGCCAGTGGCTCACCCCTATAATCCTAGCTAGTAAGGAGGCTGAGATCTGAGGATCATGGTTCAAAGCCAGCCTAGGCAGGAAAGTCCATGAGACTCTTATCTCCAATAAACCACCAGAGAACTGGAAGTGTCATTGTGGCTCAAGTGGTAGAGTGCTAGCCTTGTAAGAGCTGAAGAGCTAGGAACATCACCTAGTCCAAGCCCCACTACTGACAAAAAAGGTTACTTGAGTACAGTAAGCTATGGATTTAGTTTCTCTTCAAGCTTTTGGCATTTTTAAGGCATTTGCCATTGAATTTAGATAGTTTTATTCTAGTATTCAAATTATAAAAATTGAAAAACAGAATAGTCAAGAAGTAGTGGATGCCAAAACTTGGACCACCATCTTTAGAAAAAAACCTTAACAATCTCTACAACTTTTCAAGTGCAAAAGAATGATTATTTTCCCTTTGCACTAGTTATTCTGTTTTGTTGGTTGCAGGGCTTGAACTCAGGGCCTGGGTATTGTCCCTGAGCCTCTTTGTGCTCAAGGCTAGCACTCTACCACTTGAGCCACAGTGGCACTTACAGTTTTTGAGTGGTTTATTGGAGATAAGAGTCTCATAGGGACTTTTCTGCTTGGGCTGGCTAGGAACTGTCATCCTCAGATATCAGCCTCCAGAGTAGCTAGGTTTAAAGGTGTGAGCCACTGGTACCCAGCCATACTAGCTATTCTTTCAGCTATAAAGAAAAGCATTTTGAAATAGTTTTCCTGCCAACATTTATAACTATAACTACAAATGTGTCATGTTTTTCTCTCATCCATCCTAAAAGGTTAGTGGGTGCTGGTTTTCTATGTAAAAGCGGTAACTGCAGATAAATATGTTACATACAAGGTTAAAACAGGTAAAGTTATCTTGTAAACACTAGTGGGCTCTAAGAGAATATTCCCTTTTTTCTGTTTCTAAGCTTTGGGAGAAATAAGAAAATTTTTGAAATAGCAAAAATGGATGCACCCCTTAAGTTTGTTAAGGATTAAACTCAGTATGTAGCTTTCTTGCTACTTGAAATTGCAATTTTCCAGGAGTAATTTTGGAGATCCTATATACATCAGATAGAAGGTTTGAATTCCTTACTCAGCAAGTATATTATTACCTCACAATTTATTTTTTTATTTTATTTTTTTTTTGCCAGTCATGGTGCCTGAACTCTGGGCCTGGGCACTGTCCCTCAGCTCTTCAGCTCAAGGCTAGTGCTCTACCACTTGAGCCACAGCACCACTTCCAGCTTTTTCTGCTTATATGGTACTGAGGAATCGAACCCAGGGCCTAATGCATGCAAGGCAAGCACTCTAACACTGAGCCACCTTCCCAGCCCCTACCTCACAATTTAACACCTAGTTTCAGTGTTAGTTTTTTCCTACCTCTTCTACCTACTGAAGAATCAAGTTTCATCTCCTTTGTTCCTTAATGCAGTGATTCTTAAAATATGGCTTTGACTCCCACCCCTCCTCATGAGAAATATAGCTCATTTTTTCTTAGTTGCTTACTGCTTCATAGTTATTCATATGCACGTATGCCTAAGAGCTGCTTATTAATAAAGTATCAAATGAATTATTATAGATAACTAAAACACAGTGTTGGTTATCCAAAGCCAGCGATTAGAATTTACTGGCTATGTAATGCTTTCTTTCCTAGGCACTTATTTTAGGAAACTTGGCACCAGAGATGTATAGAATGGGGATTCCTGAAATATTAAGGGTGGGTGCTTAGTTTAGGGTCCATCATCCATATTGTCTTAAGATAATCTTGGTTTTCCATTATAATTTTTCATATTGTGATTCCTTGCTTTTTTTTTTTTATAAGACTTTGACTGTTTAAATTCAGCTTTGTTTCAATTTGACTTATGAGCTTTTGGCAAATCTTTCATTATGTGAATGAGGATATTTCTGCCACTATAGTTTGGCATGCACATTAATAAGTGAATGTGTTGTGATGCAAATATAAGTCCTCTATTTCCCTTTTATCAATGCTAATTTATATGGTCATCTAAAAACTTGCTTATTCTGAGAAACTTATGTTACTCAATCCTTTAATCCCCAAAAAGTTGGTTGAGGCCAGAGGTCTCCAAGTGTGCTTCATGTATTTATCTCCAGGCTTTGGTTAGGGAGTTGTGTATTGTCCATTGCTTCCCTCTTCCTGAACCCAACTTTGCCAAAAGCTTTTCCTTTTTGCAATATCTACCCATCTATCTTTTTTTCCCATCCAATGGTAACATCTTAGGTGTTTTAAGTGGTAAA